GTGACCTGACCTTGCCTTTGCCCTCTGCATGGAGTGCTGTGAGTTGGGTAACCACACAAGGCCTCTCTGGATGTCTTTTATACAACCGGACCCTCTCTGCAGTATGTCAGGCACATTTTGGGTCTTGGAACAGTCTGAGTTTATTGACTGAGGACCCTTGGTGGGCTGGCTTCCACTGCCTGAAACAATGTTTCCTTTCTGTAAAATGGGAATAAATGTTCCCAGTCTATTTCCAAGAGTCAGCTATGCAAACAGTAAGCGGCCATTCATAGTAACATTAACTTGTCCAGTCATTTCTTCCAGAACAGAGCTCCCACCTCTGTCCCCCAACAAGCTCCCAGGAGACCAGCACCAAGCAATAGCCTTTCCCAGCCTACCTCTGTGCGCCTTACATCATTCTCCAGCTCAAATCTTGGAGCCAGAGCTTTAGATGGCTCTGCAGGCACTGCGCCTGGGCAGGGAGCTGTCCGCAGTTCAGTGCTGAACCGGAAGTTGTAGACGCTGTACACCCTGTTGTGCGTGGTAGCCCAGGGGGGATTCTTTGTATAAAAGGTTCTCGGGATCTGGAGTTCCGGCTGTAGAAAATCCTGAGGCTAACCCTAGAATCATTGTGGCTTCTTACAGCACAAAAGAGCCAGGACAAGGAGGCCTTCCTCAGGGGACCTTGTCCATCCTTCCATTCTACCCCCCTACCCCCACCCCAGGGGCCTCCAGCTTCCCATCAGCTATACAGAATTCTGCTGTTGCTTTAAAAAAAAAAAAATCATTAGGAGTCTAAGAATAATTACCAAGTGAGATTGTAATTATGGTATGGGGGAGACTGGACCAAGGGAGAGGACCAGAGGTAGCTCTCAAACTGGGGTGGAAAACAGGTTTCTGTTTTCCTCAGAGGGGAAAAAGGGGGTGTGGAGAGTGGCAGAGTTGGGGTGGGATAGAAGCTTCTCTTGGGAAAGACACTGGAACGGAGGAGCCAGAAACGGAAGGAAAAAGAGGGACAGAGCAGGCTTGAGGTAAGGGTGGGGAGAGGGGTCAGAGGGAGAGAGTAAGGAGGGAGGGAGGGTATGAGAGAGAGAGAGAGAGAGGGAGGTGGGAAGGAGAGGGAGATGGAGGGAGAGGGAGAGGGAGAGGGAAAGGAGGGCAGGAGGAAGGAAGGAAAGGAGGGAGAGGGAGGGAGGAAGAGAGAGAGACAGAGAGAGAGAGAGAGAGAGAGAGAGAGAGAGAGAGAGAGAGAGAGAGAGAGAGAGAGAGAGAGAGACTGAGGGAAGTGAAAGCAAGAAAGAACCTGTTTTAGATGTGAGCACTGAGCCTCAAACCGGGCTCCAAGAACACTTCGACTATTCCTCCTTTGGAGAACTAGGCCTGGTCAATCCGTTTGGGCTCTAGTGACTTTTCACGGGGGTCCTGGAGAGAAGAGAAAGGGAAGGGAATAGCAGAGAGGCGGGAGGGAAAAGGACCCATAACCCTGATCGAGAAGGAAACAGGGGGCGGGGGACGAGGGTGACCCCGAGCCGCTACCCGAGGAAGATTTATGGCACTGCTCGGGTTCCAAGGACAGGCTGCTGCAGCCGCTCTCCGCTCTCTGCTGCCACCGCCCCACAGCCGCCTGTGGCCGCTGAGCCCCCTGCGCGGGCAGCCCACGGTGCCCGGGGCCATCCCTGCCATTATTAACTTCTGTTTGATTAGGGTAATTGTTCAAACTTGGGCTGGACAGTATGATTAATTACAGTTTAATTAACGTGTCCATTAAGGACACTTAGAGCCACTGGGGCAAGAATGGGGGTGGAAGTGGCTGAGTGGGCGCCCAAATGAGGGCGGGGGGGGGGGACGGTGCGACTCATGAAGTAGAAGCCAAGATTGAAAAAGAGAAAAGTGACAAGGACACGGTCAGCGTCCACGGGTCAGTGGAGGGAGAGAGGGGGAGAGAGAAAGAGAAAGCAAGAGACAGACAGAGACCGGGCAGAGACAGAGCTGCGCCGCTTTGGGGAGAAAAGTATCGAGGGGTGTCTGTTGCGTGAGGCGGTGGGCCCCTCATCATTAGAAAACGGACTTGAGAGAGTAGTTGACCCCAGTTTGCTCCCAGAAATAACTCGATCTTCAGCCCTCGTCCTGCTGCTGGTGATGAGGAGAGGTATTCAAAGCTGGGGTTGGGGGGGGGGGAGAATAACCCGCTCCCCAATCCTGTATCCAGTAAAGGAAACAGAAGGGCCTCTCTCTCTCCAACTGGAGCTTTCCTGGCATCTCCTGCCGGAGTCAGGAACAAAAAGAGAGCTGGATGAATCTGCCTCTTCCTGGGGTTCTCTCTAATGCGGGGTGCACTAGTCCCTGTCCCCACTGCTGGTGACCCTGCATCCAGAAAGCCAGGGATCCGTTTCCGGGGCTCCTTCCTTTGGAGTCCTCTCAACTCAACTCGTCACCCGCTCCCGGCTCCTCGGCGGGAGCGCTCCACCACCGTCCCTACTTGGTTCTTGGGGGTAAACTTTGTGGCCCCAGGTCCTTCCTCCCACTCTCTGACGGGAGCGGGCCTCGGGCGCAGGACGCGGGCCGCAGGTGTGTGTGGCCGCTTACCTGGGACGCACAGCCCTCGGGCGGCGGCGAAGGCGGCAGGCACCGCGCGTGGCCCGCAGGCGAGTGAAGCCGGGGAGGGCTGGAGTGACTGAGCGGGGTGGTGGGTGGGTGTGGCGCCCAGGCTCGCAGCTGTCACACGTGCCCTCCCAGCGCTGGCCTCCAACACTCTGGCGCTGGTGCCCACCACCACGCCATGCGCTCTAGACTTCGGCCTCTTCTTCCGGCCAGTCGTCGGCCTCGGGGGCCGCGGTTTGGGACCCAAGTCTCTGCGCCTAGGACCCTGGCGCCCAACGCCTGTTGAGAGCGGGAGGGGCCGCGGGTGGGAGCGTGGCTGTGCGCGCGCGCGGGGAGGGGCCGCGCCGTCACCCGGAGAACCCGGCGGATCCCCGGACTCCCGCCCGCCGCTCCGCCCGCCGCGCACCTCCGCTCACCGCTAGCCCGGCTCCAGCCGCCGCCGCACGGTGAGTACCCGCGACCCACAGCCGGCCATTCTTGTGCCCCGCAGCAACATCATTTTTTCGTTTAGTTCTGATTTGGACTCTTGTGTCTGTTTGGGTCCCCCCCCCCATTATTATTATACCTAAGGACTCCAGCGCCTCGCTCCCACCGCTGCCCGCCTCCCGCCTTGTTACCCGCCCCGCACTGGCCCCTGAAGCCCAGGCGCCAGAGAGGGTTCCCAACCTGCCCTGGCAGCTGCTCCTTGTCTCCACGTACAGCCCCTTGCCCGCTCTTTCCGCTTTGGCCCCCAAATGTTGTTCCTTTCCTAAGGCCCCCTCCCCTTCTCTTAGCTCCAGGGTCCGGAGACCCCCTTCATTAACTAGGGAAACGCTCGCGGGGACCCAGGACTCTCGGCTTGGGAAGGGCGCGCTTGGCTCTGGGTGCTCTCTTCACTGTATGCGGGGCCCTGGCACATTTGCCTATTTAGGGAAACCAAGAAGCCCTCGTCATTTCCCAGTGCTGCGCGCCCCCCAGCACCTCCGCAGCCGGCCTGGGAGCCCTCCCTGGGGGCGTGTAGCTTGTCTTGTTGACCCCTCAGCCAGGGAGTTAGGACGATGTTGTTGTGGTGGTTTGTTTTTTTTTCTCCTGCCGCCTATAATGTTACTAGGCACCTCAATGTGAAGGGAGGGTCACTTGTTTTAGCTTGATTGGATGATATAAAAAGATAAGACAGATCATGGATAAATAGCTTGAAGAAGGTACTGGACAGATTGGGGGGGGGGAAGAGGGAGCTGGCTGAGACAGTTCAGGGACAGATAGGAGGAACACTTAAACAAATAGATAAGGAGGGAGAGAGACAAACAGATGGTGGATGCCAGTTTCTTCACTGAAGGCTTTGGAACTGAGAATCCCAGTCAGGCTGAAGCTATCTCAAACCAGGCTTGCCTTTCCAGCCTCGTCTAGGGGCCGCACCCTCTGGCTGGGGCTGCCCGGGGGCAGCAGGAGCACCTGCGAGCTGTAGACCAGGTTGGAGCTTTGCCTGTTGAGGACACGTGGCTGAGCCGGAAGACCTTTTTTAAAGGCCCTAAACATCATTTTCCTGGTCCCCCTAGAACTGTGGGCCCAGCGACCTCCATTCCCTGTCCAGAGAGCAAATCGCGGGACCAACAGCAACTTTGGTGCCTAAAGCTGCAAAGTGAGTTCCAAGGTTCGCAGGGATTCCTGCTAGCCCATAGGATCCTGGACAGCAGGAGATGAGGGTTACTCAGAGAGGAGAATCCCCCCACCCCAATAAGAAGCCCTGGGCTCCAGGTCGCCTTTGCTGTCCTGAGAAAGAGGCATATGCGGAGGGAAGCTGAGGGAGTGGGCAACTGGAAAGGAAGTAAGTGTTTCCTGAGAAACTTCTTTGAGAATCACTCTGTCCCAAGCGTTGGCCTAGATGGAAACCAGCTGGAAAGCAGAAAACATGGTGAGAAACTGCACTATCCTGGTGCCACTGATGTCTGGAAAGAAAACAGTTTGACATATCTACCCCCGATCTTGCTGCTCAAACGAACGCGAGGCCCTAGGCGTCAGAAGAAAAACTCGGGTTTGTGGAAACCCTCACTGTTGTCCCCAGAAGCCACTCAGCGAGGAGCCGTGCAGTAAGGGCCACCCTGGGTCTGGGCGTAAATGACGTGCTTTGGAGAGGGTAGCTTTCCGCACGCGAACAGCGGTGGCCTCCGCCTCTTCCACTGCGAGGCGGGCCCCAGGTCCCTCCTCCTCCCTGCTCTCCTCACCCCACCCTCAGTCTGGAGATGAACAGTGGCCGCCCCTCCTTCGCCTCCCAGCCCTTCTCGCAACGCCCCCCGCCCAGTGCTCGTCTGTTGTGCGCTCCTGAGCAGAGGGGCCGCGGATCCCCAAAGTCTGGGCTTTAGGGCCCGGCTGGCAGCAAAGACTTGAGAGGGTGGTTGAGGGCGCGGCAATCTGAGCACCCGCGGGACAGCCGGGATTTGGCAATGGCATTACTGTGTGGCCCTGGGCAAGTCACTCTCCGTCTCTGGGTCTCACTTTTTCCCCCAGTTCGAAAAAAAAAAACAACTATACTGGGTTCCTTGAAGGTGGAGCATCCCCCGCATCCCCTACGTCTGTCTTAAGCCCCCTTTTGTTTGCGTGTCAACGCCAGTTTGAAAAACAAAAGACTCCCGTCCAGGGAGGCGAATGAGCTTAGGCCCCCCTCAGTCTGGTGTCCCGGGCGCGCCCCAGGCGGGCGCCTCGCTGGGCGGGCCCGTGCTGTTGGTGGTTCTGGCGCTGCAAATGGCTCATCTGCCCTCTGCTTTCTCTGTTTCGCAGGAGCGGCGGCATGGAGGCTTTGACCACTCAGCTGGGGCCGGGACTCGAGGGCAGCTCATCTCCCAACTCCAAACAGGAACTGCAGCCCTACTCGGGCTCTAGCGCCCTCAAGCCCAACCAAGTGGGCGAGACGTCTCTGTACGGGGTGCCTATCGTGTCGTTGGTCATCGACGGCCAGGAGCGCCTGTGCCTGGCGCAGATCTCCAACACCCTCCTCAAGAACTACAGCTACAATGAGATCCACAATCGGCGCGTGGCCCTGGGCATCACGTGCGTGCAATGCACGCCGGTGCAGCTGGAGATCCTGCGTCGGGCCGGGGCCATGCCCATCTCCTCGCGCCGCTGCGGCATGATCACCAAGCGAGAGGCCGAACGCTTGTGCAAGTCATTCCTCGGTGAACACAAGCCCCCCAAGCTGCCCGAGAACTTCGCCTTCGATGTGGTGCACGAGTGTGCGTGGGGCTCGCGTGGCAGTTTCATTCCCGCGCGTTACAACAGCTCGCGTGCCAAGTGCATCAAATGCGGCTACTGCAGCATGTACTTCTCACCTAACAAGTTCATCTTCCACTCGCACCGCACACCCGACGCCAAGTACACTCAGCCTGACGCCGCCAACTTCAACTCGTGGCGCCGGCACCTCAAACTCAGCGATAAGTCGGCCACGGACGAGCTGAGCCACGCTTGGGAGGACGTCAAGGCCATGTTTAACGGCGGCACGCGCAAGCGGACCTTCTCCTTGCAAGGAAGCAGCGCGAATGGCGGGTCGGGTGGGCAAGGGAAGGGTGGCGCTGGCGGCGGGGGCGGCGGGGGCCCGGGGTGCGGCACGGACATGGCCCCAGGCCCGCCGCCCCACAAAAACCTGCGCTGTGGCGAAGATGAGGCGGCTGGGCCTCCGGGGCCCCCGCCGCCCCACCCTCCGCGCGGACTCGGCCTGGCGGCGGCGGCCGCGGGACCGACGGGCCCGGGAGGACCTGGTGGCGGCGCGGGTGTGCGCAGCTACCCGGTGATCCCCGTGCCCAGCAAAGGCTTTGGACTCTTGCAAAAGCTGCCCCCGCCGCTTTTCCCGCATCCTTACGGCTTCCCCACGGCCTTCGGCCTATGTCCCAAAAAGGACGATCCAGTATTGGGCGCGGGAGAGCCCAAGGGTGGCCCTAGCGCCGGGAGCGGTGGCGGCGCGGGCACTGGCACCGGTGCGGGCGGCCCGGGAGCCGGCCACTTGCCCCCGGGGGCAGGGGCGGGCCCGGGTGGCGGTGCCATGTTCTGGGGGCATCAACCCTCTGGAGCAGCCAAGGATGCGGCGGCCGTGGCTGCCGCCGCGGCCGCCGCCACGGTGTATCCGACGTTCCCCATGTTCTGGCCCGCGGCGGGCAGCCTCCCGGTGCCGCCCTACCCGGCCGCTCAGAGCCAAGCCAAGGCCGTGGCGGCCGCGGTGGCGGCGGCGGCCGCGGCGGCGGCGGCGGCCGCAGGGGGTGGCGGACCGGAGCCCCTGGACGGTGCTGAGCCCGCCAAGGAGGGCGGCCTGGGCGCGGAGGAGCGCTGTGCCAGCGCCCTGTCCCGAGGGCCCCTGGACGAGGACGGCGCGGAGGAGGCTCTCCCGCCGCCGCTGGGCCCGCTGCCGCCGCCGCCGCCGCCGCCCCCTGCGCGCAAAGGCTCCTACGTGTCTGCCTTCCGCCCCGTGGTCAAGGACGCGGAGAGCATCGCCAAGCTGTACGGCAGTGCCCGCGAGGCGTACGGCGCGGGGCCTGCTCGCGGGCCGGGGCCAGGCACCGCGACCGGCGGCGGCTACGTGAGCCCGGACTTCCTGAGCGAGGGCAGCTCCAGCTACCATTCCGCCTCACCCGACGTGGACACTGCGGACGAGCCGGAGGTGGACGTGGAGTCCAACCGCTTCCCCGACGATGAAAGCGCCCAGGATGAGACCGAGCCTAGCGCGCCCAGCGGAGGAGCTGGCCCAGAGAGTGACCAGCGGATCGGGCCCCCATCTGCCGCCTCCTCGGGCGCAGACGGGCCCGCAGACTCTCCCGATGGCGGAAGCCCTCGTCCCCGGCGCCGCCTCGGGCCAGCCGCCAGCGATGGGGCTGCGTTTGGGGACTTGGCGGCCGACGACGCGGTCCGGAGACCCGAGAGGAGCCCGCCGAGCGGCGGCTACGAGCTTCGAGAGCCTTGTGGGTCTCTGGGAGGCCCCGCGACGGCCAAGGTGAGCCCCGTGCCCGGCCTTCCCGCCAGAGCCGCCTCCCCGCCTACAGCTCCGCATCGCGGGCTTGCGGGGCAGCCCTGGCTCTAGCAGCAGGCCTCAGCTCGAGAGTGCGGGTTGGGGTGGGGTGGGGCTCGAGGGAAACCCCAATCAGAGGGAGGGGTTCGAAAGGTGTGCGAAGGGGATGGAGAGGGGACCCGCGGGAGGAGAGCGTGGGCTTTGTTTTTGTCGATGGAAATGGAGGGGAACAGGCAGACAGTCCCAGAAAAGCAGTAAGAGAAATAAAAGAGGTCTGGAGGAAGTGGGGGGACCCCCCCCCCGAACCAGAGAAAAGTGGTCTCCAGGCCAGGCTGGGAGAGTGCCAGGGACAGCTAATGTTCCCAAGGAACATTAACCAGTTGTGTGTGTGGGGGGGAGGGCAGCCGGTCCCCCAAGTCTGGCCCCAGGTAGTACTGGGTCCTGGTGGTCCTCACCCACCCGACCTGGCAGCCTTGCAGTCTCCCCAAACTCTGGCCTGGGGACCCGTGGAGTTGCTTTCTGGGAAGCGGTCTCCGAAGTCCCGGGGTGTGGGGTGGGGTGGGGGAGGGAGCGACCCTCAGAACTGTCAGGACTGGGAATGGAAGGCTAGGCTGTGGCTTTGCCAGAACCATCCATTTTGGAATTGGATGCGCACACCTGTACATACATGGATTTCCATTCGGTTCATTAAAAACCCGAATCATTAACCGGATGAGAAAGGTGTCATTTCTGCCCGGAGCAGGGCTGGCAGCGGCGAGGGGGGGGGCAATGCAGAACACGAGGCTTGCGCGGAAAGTGGGGGGGGGGGCGGCCGTCAGCAGCCGGGGGGCTGGGGAGCCGCTTTGTGTTCGGAGTTATTTGCTCCCGGGGTGTGCTAAGAATTACCCCGAATCGACTTCCCCGTGATTCGGACACGGAGGGAGCCAGGATGCATGCGTCAACACTGCCCCGGGACACTCGCGTCCCGTGGCCACGACGTCCTGGGCCAGCCCCCCTCGCTCGGCCTTTCCCGTGGCCCCTGCGGGGCTCGGGGTAGTCACCAACCTCCCCACCCCACCCCCCAACTGCCTGTCATTTCTTGGCCGCCAGCAGGTGTACGCGCCCGAGAGGGACGAGCTTGGGAAGAGCGCGACGGCGGCGCTGGGGTCCGCGGCCACCTATCTCTGCACCCCCGAGGCCCACGGTAACGCCATTGTCACCCAGGGAACTGCTGGCGGAGGGCTGAGGCCCAGGAAGGCCTTTTGAAGGAAGAGGGGGGGGGAGGGAGAGGTGGGGGGGAAGGGGGAGAGAGAAAATACTGAAATAAAGATGATGCTAAGCGCCAACACCCAGCTCCCACGGTTTGGTTACTTAAAAGCAGTGACAACCCCCTGTGTCATCACACATGCATTCAACGTCCCAACACACCTCTTACGTGTGCGGAAACCTTTTTACAACCGCGTCTGGCACCCTCTTCAAGTCCTCTCATTCAGCGAGTGTGTTGGGCCTCGGGGTCCCCTTGTGGCCATTCCGGTCTGGGTGGAACCTCGGGGCGCTCGGCTGCCCACTTGGGTACCGCACAATCGCCGGCGTAGCTGCGCCCCAACGCGTGAGTGGGAAGGGAAGCCCTGGCCTTGTGTTGGGGACACCACATTGAGCCCAGCAGAGAGGCCTGGGGGTCTCAGAAATCCAGGCACCCCGTACCACCAGAGCTACCCCGACAAGGACTCCTACCCCCACCCCACCCCCGCCCGTACGTCACTAAGACCTGAAGGTCAATGCCTGGGATGAGATCTCGGCGGGAGTCGCGCGGACAACTAGTGGCCGCGCGTGCTAGCGGTGTCCTAGTATCTGCGCGATGTAGGTCGTTGGTCCCTGGTGGGCTCGGCTGCTCTTCAAGCTCTTTTCCGAGGGGCTGGGGCGAGGGTGGGGTGAGGACCAAGCCGGGAGAGGAGCAGCCCTTGCACCGGAGACTGGGGCTGGGGGCAGGGGTGGGGGTAGGGTGGGGAGGGAGTGGCCCGACGCAAAGCCTCAGGGTGAGCGCCTGGGCGCGCAGCCGGGAACCAGCGGCGGCCACTAGGTTTCTAATTAGGATTTGGGCGTCCTAACTGCGGAAGCTATGTCAGTATCCGGGTCATGGTTTCTTTGCCTCTCCTTGAAATTCGGTTTATTGCCTTTAAGAACCCGATAAGGAAGACAATCACTCGACCACCGATGATTTGGAAACGAGGAAATCCTATTCAGACCAAAGGAGTGTCTCCCAGCCAAGCCCCACAAATACAGATCGAGGTGAGCCTTAGAATCCCCCGTTGCCTTTTCCCCCCTCCCTCCTCAGCCCCCATAGGCTGCAGATGGAGACCCAGGGTTCTCATATCTTCACAGATTTGCAAACAATTCTCTTCCTGCTTGAGTAGATACTTAAATATGTATTGCAGGGGACGTTTGTGCCAGATTTAGTCAATTGCTTTTTTCTGGATAAGGGTAGGGGTCATACTAAAAATAAATAAATAAAAGTAAGAGGGGCTAGGTACTGGTGGCCCATGCTTGTAATCCTAACTATTTAGGAGGCTGAGATTTGAGGATCGTGGTTTGAAGCCAGCTGGGGCAGGAAAGTCCATGATCTGGATCCAGTTAATCACAGAAAAACCCATAAGTGGTGCTGTACCTCCCGTGGTAGCTTACAATCTTTGAGCAAAAAGATCTTAGGGACAGTGACCAGGATCAGATTTCAGGGACAGTGCCCGGGATCAGAGTTCAAGGCCCAAGACTGGGCTAGAAAAAAGAAAAAGAAAATAAAGGACTTTAAATAGGTCAAAGGGCACTTTCTGTCCCAGGGGAACCCATCTTCATGGATTATACACTGTCCTATCCCCTGCCTTGCTGACTTGGAAGGTGTATAGTACAGGTTTTATTGTCTCCCCTAAGCACATACTTAAAAAAAAATGACTGGAGTGTAAAACAGGTCTTCTCCAGGGTATGGTGGAAGGCAAATGGAGTGGGTAAATATGGTCAAAACGCTTTATAAACATTTGTGGAAATGGAACAATGAAGCTTGTTGAGTCTGGCTTGGGAAGGAGCAAGAGAGAATCTGATTTAGGTGCATTGAGTGTATATGTCACAATGAAATCCTCTTGTGCAACTAATTGATGCTACTAAGAAAATACGGGGGAGCCACTATAGAGGAGACTGAAGTATGTCCCCTTGGCACAGTGTCCAGGAAGCTCACCTCTCCTTCTCTGAAGGTCTCTCTCAGGACAGAAACCCTCTTACCTGCTCTTGTGTCCCAGGCGATGATGGGCTCAACTTGGATGTCACTGGAACTCAGCTGGTGGAGAAAGATATAGAAAACCTGGCAAGAGGTGAGGTTAAATCTGTGAAATGAGGGTACATTGTGCTTGAGGATAATAGTTCCTTTCTGTAGATGGGTGCCATTTAGTGGGTGTGTGGGGAAACATGCCTGCAGAGGGGGATCCATTTTCAATTCATTGAATAGAAAGGGTAATCCTTTGAGCAACCGTGGCTCATAGGTATATTAAGTCTGTGTGTGGATAGGAGTTGCAGGGAGTGAACCAAAGGCTGGAAGTTTATTGGAACTTTGCATTCCCAAGGCCCGAGTCTGTTTTGAATAGTCCAGTGAGTAATGAGTCTCAGAACTTGATCTAGGTCTCAACTCCATGGAGAAGAGACTTGTTTTCTGAAGATCATGACTTCAGTGAGGCACTTATTTTAGGAATTTGGGAGAGGTTACAATCAATTTCTCTCTGGAATTAATATATAGCTATTAATGCATTAACAAAGTCCGGGGCTAGTTTGTAGAATGGAACTCGCAACCCTATTAGCTGCGTAACCCTCAAAGAGTAGAAGATGGCCTGAAGCACAGAGGAAGAGTGCACTCTTTCTCACACATTCTCTCTCCCTCTCCCTCTCCTCCACCCCTCCCTCCCCTCTACCCCTCCCTCCCCTCTACCCCCTCTCTGGTTGGTGTCAGTCTGAAGCTTCTTCTCGGCCTGGGCACTGTTCCTGTGCTCTGCCACGGGAGCCACAGCTCTACTCTGGCTTTTTGCTAGTTAATTGGAGAGAGTCTCGGGGACTTTTCTGAGAAAGTGGACTTTCCAAAGCTGAATGCTCAGATCTCATCTCCCTGAGTAGTAGGAGTACAGGTGTGAGCCACTGGAGCACAGAAAGAAGGGGATCTTGAACTCTGTTTTAAAAGAACCTCTCCATGAGGAGGAAGGAGATAACCAAGGGCCCCATGGTCAGGGAAAGCTTTTCTTTCCACTTCTCTGGAACTGGTTTCACGGCACAAAGCCGTGAATTGGTGCGAGAAGGAAATGGTTAGCAGTCATCCACGTTCTCTAGGCACAAATTTTTCAGAATATCCCATTACTGTGAGAATAGCTGATGTGTCAGTTGGCAGTTTATGGCACTGATTTCTTTCTTTCTTTCTTTCTTTCTTTCTTTCTTTCTTTCTTTCTTTCTTTCTTTCTTTCTTTCTTTCTTTCTTTCTTTCTTTCTTTCTTTCTTTTTGTGGGTCATCCTTGAACCTCCTAACACTGTAGATAAGTTGTTAAATATGTCTATTTCTTTGAGAAGGCTGTCCATGACTTTTTTTTGGGGGGGGGGGGTCCGGTGGTGCGGCCTGAACTCTGGGCCTAGGTGCTGTCCCTCAGCTCTTCAGCTCAAGGCTAGTGCTCTACCACTTGAGCCACAGCGCCACTTCCAGCTTTTTTCTTTTTGCTTATGTGGTGCTGAGGACCTCATGCATGCAAGGCAAGCGCTCTACCTCCAAGCCACCTTCCCAGCCCCCTGCCCATGACTTTGACCAGATTTTTCCTCATTTGTATTGAAAGGAGGGATTGGCAGTGTCATTTGAAGTGGGGGAATCAGTCTATTTGTGGACCATCTTCAAAAATTAGGGAAATAAGAACAACTCTAAGGCAGATTTCAAAACAATTATTTCCTGGACCAAGGGCCCAGAAATCCCAAACGGGTTAGATCCACCTATTAGGATTCTCTTGGAAGTCTTACCCTGTAGCACCAAGTCTTTGGTCAAATCTTTTGGAGGCAAGTGGAAGTCAGAGAATTAAAGGACTGTCCCAGAACCATTGACTAGGGCAGAACTTCTGTGCATAATAATAGGCCCCTGGGTTTTGCTCAGCCTCCTCTCCTCCTTCCCCTCTACAGAGGAACTGCAAAAATTGCTTTTAGAGCAAATGGAGCTCCGGAAGAAACTCGAGCGAGAATTCCAAAGTCTCAAAGGTGCGTCCATTCATTCCTCCCTATCCCACCTCCCCCAGCGTCACCTTTGCCACGGCGACCTGCTTTGGGGACCTGCAAGGTGCTAGTGGCTGCTACAGATACCTAGAGGGAACTCCAAACTCTTCTCTCTAGCGTTTCTAGCTAGGCTAGGGACTAGGTGGGAGTGAGATTGGGGGAGAGGAAAGGGGTTGGTGGAGTTGGGGAGCTGGGGGGGAGGAGGCTGTGTGTTATAGTTCTCACTTAATCAATTTGCACAGATAATTTTCAGGATCAAATGAAGAGGGAATTGGCTTATCGAGAAGAAATGGTGCAACAGCTGCAAATCGTCAGAGGTAAGACGAGAATCAGGTGAGGTGTACGCGGCCATAACCGCTTCTCCTCTGGCAGGAGCCTCAATGTTGGCTCAGTCATTTAGATTTAAATGGAAGGTAATTTAACAATTATTTTTTTTATTTAATATCCTTTGTATACTCTGATTAGCCTCAGAATGGCAAGCGAGCCCAGCAAACGGCTTGCAGGCATCATTACATGGAGTGATTGAACTTCTTATCGCGGCAATTTCCATGGTTTCTAAATTAAAAATCGAGGCGTAAAATTACCTGGGAAGTAATGCCTAAGTTTGCTTTAATTTTGGTTAGCTCCGTCTGCCTTTAAGCGCCATCCCAGGCCATTTCCTCCCTCTGCCAGCCGGCAGTTTGGCGCCTTGGTACCCCTACCCCACCCAGCCTCTGCAGTATTGTGTTCTGCTATGCTCCGGTTTGTGCAGGGGTGGGGGTGGGGAGGTGAGGTGGCGATGGTAGGGAAAGATAGGTAGTGGAGACAAAGCAGTCTGGGCTGTGACTCAAGCTACTCTTGCCGGCCAGCCAGCGGGTGATAGGTTTCCTCCCTGTTTTCCAGATACCTTGTGCAATGAACTGGACCAAGAGCGGAAGGCGCGCTATGCCATCCAGCAGAAACTAAAAGGTGAGGAATCAGGAAACAACACAGGGCTTGGCCGTGTGATTCAATGTATGAATCCATGGTGGTGGTGGTGTGGGGGAAGACCAGGATTTACTTGGAGTAGAAACAGAGGAGAAGTGAGAACTGATAGTAATGGGTTTTTCTATAATGACAATGTAGGGGAAAAGAGCCCCTTTGAGTCCTGGGCTTGTGAAAAGTCTGCTTTCTGATTCTACTTTGATGTTCAGCAAATGGATCCTTCATTCTCTGTGCCTCAGTTTCCTCTTCTGTCAAATGAGGCTATTGAACCAGAGCAGTGGTTCTGAATCAGCAAGGCTCTCCCTCTATGTCCAGTGGGTTGAGCAAGGTCTGGGAAGGGGGCTAGAGAACTTGGTGTTCTGTTTAGGCACATAATGATGGCCAACATGGTGCCTGTGACTCTCCCCAGAAGCCCACGATGCCCTGCACCACTTCTCCTGCAAGATGCTGACACCTCGCCACTGTACTGGCAACTGCTCCTTCAAGCCCCCGCTGATGCCCTAGGGCCGGCCTGGACACACCCAAGAGCCTTCAAGCCATGCTGCTCCTTGTAAATACCCGCTGGCCCAGCGGTCCAGAGCGAGGAACAAGCCATTGGAACCCCACTGATGTAAATACAGCAGCCTGCTTGCCACCCTCCTAGGCAGGGCAGCCTTGCCTGCCCCCTCCTGGGCCCACTGATCTCCCAGTGTAAATATGGCCTCGCCCCTCCGCTGAAATTCTGGACATCGGACCTCAAGGGGTTAACTGGACCTAAGGGGTGGAGGTGGGGTGAGGAGGCAAGAAAGGGGAAGGGAGATCTCTCCCTACCGCCTGCCAGGGTGTTCAGCCTAGGCCCAGTATTGTGAATACAACTACAACTTTGCTGGCGCCTGCTTGGGCTCCCACCGTCTATGTCTGAAACTTGTTCCTAAAGACAAAGTGGCTATGTGCAATGGATATAAATGTACTGTGAGTCTCTTGGTTTAGTATTAAGGTTCACTCAATTTATGCTGTAAATTATTTTTTTTTCTTTATTCTCCTGGATTTATTTTCAGTCCTACTGAGCATTTCTCACTGGAGTTTATTTTGCTTTGTATTATTATTTTATTGTAACCTCACGATATAACAGCACTTTAAAAGGGCAACACCTGACTCACAAGATGGCTACCACCTTGAGCCTACTTGGAAAGATCATCTTGTATCCGTGACTTTTGTTTTTAATAATAAAAAAAAAATGTCACTTTCTGGGGTTGCCGAAGTGGGAATGGATGGTGGGGATAGAGGTTGGGAGAAGGGGGCCACATTGTACCACAGGTGCGGTGCAGGAGCTGTCCCATGGGTTTTGGAATGATGACAACTCAGGTAGACAGCTGTGGTGAATGGGGGTTTGAGATCCAGGCCTAGGACTTTCTGGGCAGGTGCTCTATCATCCCTCCCCAGGTCAAACAAGGGGCCTGCAACCTTTCTACCAAGCACCTAGACACACCCCGTATTCCCCTCGGGCCACCCCACCCCTCTGAGTCCAGGCTGGGGCAAGGGGCCTACTTGACCCCTGGTTCCTTCCCTCAAGCTCTAGTAGAAACTCAGACTTGTTTCTTGTCCATTTCTGAGAGGGGAAAGACCCTCAGGGACTAGAAGCTTCTCAAAAGACCTGCTGAGAATTAGGGTACGATGGGAATTTGCTCCCTGGGGCTAACCCAAGGGTGCTGTGGATGGAGTGGGGGGGGGGGGGTGGGGATGAAGTCTGTCTCCCAGGAACTTGGAAAAGACTTGGAGTTCATGCGCAGATGCCCTCCGTGGGCCCCGAAAAGGCCCTGGGCCATATTTTAATATTCCCTCCATTATAGTTCAAGTGGAGTTGAGGTTGTGGAAGAACCACGTATGGAGGCGAGGCCAGGCTAAATTGCAGCGGGAGAAGTCCCACCCCTGCTTTCTCGTTTTCCACCGCACCTACTGGTGGGTCCACAGATAACCGATGTAAACTGCAGACACCCCACCCCACCCCACCCCACCCCACCCCACGTGCTGTTCTCAGCATAGTGTGAATGAGCACTGTATTGAGGGTCATTCAGCCTGGGTTGGATTTCCTCATCAGCTTAGTAAAGGTCCTGCGCCGCTTCCCCCACCCCGGCCCTTGGTTTCCAGGTCCTATAAACTGACACTCAAGCCTGTGTTTCCTGAGGCTCAGGGAAATGATCTGGGAGGTAAGCAGACCACCCCCGGCCACTGCCAGGACCAGCAACCATGCTCCTGAGACCCTGGAAGCCGGGATCAGGCCAGAGACCTTGGGCTGCTTGGAAAAGGAGGTTCGCCATGGGCAGAGCCGGCAAGCAGGGCTGCTGTCTGGGAGAGGGAAGGAGCTCAGCCCTGGGGTCCCGGAGCCCAATGGAAGCAAGCAGGCCAGACCCTAAAGCCGCCTCCGCTGGGGCTCTGGACCTTCCATTGAAGCCCAGAAGGTTCCGAGGTCTAAACCTAGAAAAGAGAGAAACAATGCTGGCGAAGGACACCAGACAACTGAAATCGTAACTTTTCCTTTGGTCTCCCTGTGAGGTTCCCCCAGGGAGCCCCAAACCCTCACCTGGGCCTGGCCAACCAGCAGGGCAGAGGTGCTGGAGAGGAAGTGACTTGCGCCCTGTAGCTCGGAGAGCTGAGGGTGTTGGAAGATTGTATGTCCTTTCTCCGGAAGAGTACGTGCACCTTGGACACTCACACTCTGCTTCTCCAAAGAGGCCATAGCAGATAGATACCACCCCGCAGGAAGTTCGGAGACTAGAAAATAATCTTGCCAAAATAATCCCGAGACAGAGAAAAGAAAGCAGGGAGGTAGCTGTGGCAAGCCAGGAGAGGCACCTCATCTGTCTGTGGCGTGAGAAAGGAGGTTTTGGGGGGTGTTGTAAACTGATCCAACCCAGAAGGTGTCCTTGCAAAAAACAAAACAAAACACAAAAACCCTCAAAACAATACCAAAAGCAAAATAACCCTCCTGGGCTCCTTGTCCCTTCAAAAGTGGTTCATTCTCCCCAAAATGTTAATAACGAAATGATTGGTATGGATGTAATTATCAATAATTATGCGATTATTGCTGATTGCGGGGCTCGTAGCTACTTTAATTAGTTTACCAGATTCTAATTAACTTAAATGAAACATTAATAGGGAAAATATGCTTAAACACACACACACACACACACACACACACACACACACGACCAGATTTCTTTTTTTAAGTCTTGTTTCTCGCCACAAGGTTGCCACCTTGTGACAGATTTTAGATATTACAGTCAACCCAAGGCTGAAACTGCCGCCAATATCAACAAAAGCCAACTGCAGCATTATCTTGGGGCTTGAAAAACTGAAGGGTAATGGTGGGTGTGGGTGGGTTCCCAGCATGTTTACTTTGGGATTCCTCTTCCCAGAGGTGCCTACATGAAGTCTAGCTCTACATCAAGAGCTGAAGGTAGAAGATCCTGTAAACCCATCACTTCTGCCTCCCACTGCCTTTTCCCCCCCACAAGATTCAGCCCCCCTCTCCAGAGTGGTATGGTAGGGATGGTCTTTGTCCTCCAACTGTCCAGCAAATCCAGGGAGAGATACTGAGTATAGTTGGAGACACTAAGGACCATAGTTCAAATTTGCATTCCCAGAAGAAAATCTAGTAAGTGGCATCCCACCCCCATTGACAACTTGTTGGAAAAAGCACTCAGCCCAGGAGACCTCAAAGCACACTTGGCCTTGCTTTGTTATTCTCAGTTTTATGGGTCCATTGCTATAAACTGGGCAGTAAGCACCCCAGGATGAAGTTCTTTCCCTGGTCTTTCTTGTGACCTCTGATACAAAGGCACACAATATATGTCCAAATGAAAAGAAAAATGCAATTTGGTGGTCCATCTGGCTCCTGGAAAAATCTGAGAGGAGAAATCACAAGGTGCTTCTGGACAACAGCCACTCAAAACAATTAAGCTCATTTGCATAAGGTTAATTAAACACAAGCTTACTGCTTAGAAAGATCCTTCATGAATAGGATTAGATTTGGGGGTACGTGTCAAGTTACTATCAATTAGAATAGGGAAATTTCTTCTTATTCCAACTGTGTCCCAAACAAAGGAGGATCCCTAAAGTTCCTCAAAATTTGCAAGGCCCCAGGCCACATACCTGTCCACTTATTCCCAGCTCTTCTGCTGTTAATGTAGCCTTGATCCCTGGTGGAAATGCAAATTCTACCTTGAATTTAGAATACAACAAAAGTAGATTTATATCTGTATGCTCTTTCCACTTGTTATAAACAGCCTCACCCTTCTCCCTGCAGAGGTAGCACAAAACTTAGTTAAGTGGCACACGCCTGTAATCCTAGCTCCTCAGAAGGTTGAGATCTGAGGATTGAGGTTTGGAGCCAGTTTGGGCAGGAAAGCCTCTCACCTTTAATTGACTGCCAAAAATCCGGCGGAGCTCTGGCTCAACTGGTAGAATACTAGCCTTGAATAAAAAAGATAATAAGCTCATAAGGGACAGCTCCTAGGCCTTGAGTTCAAGCCCCAGGACTGGCATAAACAAACAAAAAGTGCAAATTCTGTAGTTGTGTGATACTGAGCAAATTGCTGACGTTCTGGGCTCCAGCTACTTTATCTATAACATGGAGGAAATGATGGTACCAATCAGTAGACTTTAATTTTCCAAGTTTTCTCCAAAAGAATTGTCAGACAATCCATTTGCCACAAATAAATTCCCTGCTTGAGTTGTGAGGAAGTAACCAAGGACTGTATAAGCTTACTTCTTTGTTTATGTTTGTGCTGGGGCTTGAATTCAGGGCTTAGAGGTCTTGCTTAATTTTTCTGTTGAAAACTGTCATTCTATCACTTGATTCACACCTCTACTTCTGGCCTTTTTTTCTGGTTTAATGTAGATAAGAGTCTCACAGGGTTTACAGGGTTTTCAGCCTGGGATAACTTGGAATCTGTAGCCTCAGATTTCAGTCTCCTGAGTATGATTACAAGCAAGAGCCGCCAATGTCTGGCTGTAGTAGTTGCCTTTACCATCAAGCATTCCTCTTTACAAGGAGAGCAGAAAGCAACAAGAAAGGATAGGGTCCGGGCTGGGAAGGTGGCTCAGTGGTAGAGTGCTTGCCTTGCATGCATGAGGCCCTGGGTTCGATTCCCCAGCACCACATAAGCAAAAAGAAAAAAGCCGGAAGTGGCACTGTGGCTCAAGTGGTAGAGTGCTAGCCTTGATCTGAAGAGCTGAGGGACAGCGCCCAGGCCCAGAGTTCAGGCCCCAACACCAGACCCCCACCCCCCAAAAAAAAAAAAAAGGATAGGGTCCTCTTCCATCATTTTCTGACTCATGGTGTTTTCATAGTACAGAATTTATTCAAGTGGCAGATATTAACAACACCCAACTCAATCTCTAGGAATAATGTGAAATTCTGACCCAATGCTTGAGAGGAAACACTTTCAGTATTCTCTAATGGAATATTTTCCTGTTCTCTTTGATAATAATTGTACTTGTGAATGTAGAAACTTTAAATTCTT